CTCGATTGAATCAAAAACGAGAAACAACCGAAGCAAACACTTAGACTATCAGTTTGTATGGTAATACAGAAAAAACATGAGATCAAGAGATAGACATTAGCGCTGCGGCAAACCAAATGCGATCATACCCGCTTGCCCTTTCAGAGTTTACATATAAAACAAATAAATTACAATAATTGTTTCCCTCTACAAATTTTCCCCCTCAAAATCCACATTACCCTTAACAGAAAACAATTCCCCTCCGGCACTCTTGTTCCCAAGAGCCACGCCCGTGGGAAAGCCCGCTGCCCAACACGCGTGTCGTTGGGAAGTTCGTTTGCCGTTTGGGAATTGCGATGTGCATGTCCGTTTCTTTTTTTTTCCTTTTCTTTTCACTTTTGACTATCACAGCATTTACCCTCCGGCACCTCCCATTATCAGGGATATCTCGTGAGATTTTCCGTTTGCGCACGACGCCATACTGGATCAAGATTGCGCGAACTTGGCGCCGCGAACGCGAAATGCTGTAATTGGGCGCCCCTTTGGGTGAGGTATAATGCCCCTGTTATCATCCACCTCGCAAAATTCCCGCAGCAATGGGAGCGAGATTCATTTCTGAACGGTTGCCCCTCACCGCAAACGAAGGGTGTAACCCAAGGGGGTGGGTTTGGAGGGCAGTGCGATCGCCTTGGCGAGACCCCAGGTGTGTAACGGACGCGTCTGCTCAAATGAATTCCCCCTTTTTTATGTTTTATTTCATCGGAAACAAATGGGCGCCAGAGACCCCCACTTTAAAATTTGAACTGGGACACGGCGCCTTCTTCAAGCGGGGGGAAGAACGGGATGAGGTGCGACAGAATATCGATAGAGAATTGTTTGGACTGTTTGAATGGAGTCATTTTCTTTTTTTTGTGTGTGCTTGGACCCTCGTGCGAAATGCAATCCCAATAATGCAGGAATACTCCTCACTCTGTGCAAAGTTATAACTTGAATAAGGCAGTGCCTGACAGAGAGTGTGGGCACGTATACGTGGTCAAAAGCATACCGTCAGAGTCAAAAAAATTCTGAGGATTTACTCGCACATTAAAATCCATATCAATGACGATGAGTGTGGATCGCCAGAAAGGGTATCCTATCCAATATTCTCCAATTATCCTCCATTTGTGCGAATAACCAATAAAAATAAAAAAAACGAGCTCCGCTCCGGCAGAAACCATAAGAAGAAATAACCATAAAAATAATATCGGTCACAAACTATTTTCGTAATGTTACAGTATTATTTTTTTCATTTTCCCTCTTAACCCTGTACCAAATGTCTTCCTTTGTTGTTGTTTGTGTTGTTTTCCTGCATTATTAATGTTTGGAATTCGCATGCAGAAACACACTGAGAATTATTTGCGATATGGGGTGTGCCCACTCACTTTATTTCACTTCTCCCTTCGCCCCAGCACCATAGCGCAGACTCCTATTAAGTATTTTCCGCAACGCTGGTAAATTAACGTGGACAGTTCACAATTTCATCGACCCTAGGAAAAATATATACAGTTGGGAGTAAATACCCACACATAATCCTGGAGAATGCTGCAGCGTCGTAGAAAGCGAATGGCAATTTCACCAGGCCCCATGCAAACACTAGAATTGCACCACCTTTTCTGTCACAACTTGTAGGTGAGAGGAAAAAGAATAGAGAAACGAAAAAAAAAAGAATAAAGGCAACAACAAACAAAACGCTCTTAGAGCAAGAAATAATGGCAACATTTGTAAGAAAAAAAAAAGAGAAACAAATATTTTTGACCTTATCTTAGCACACCCTGCATTCCCCACCCCGTTTTCACAAATACATCTAAAATAATTTTTCCGGTGGTTTTTACCAAATAAATAACAGAACTGACGAAACGCAAGTGCTGAGAAGTCCTTTTAACCGGCCTTTCATTCGAAACAGTGTGGGTTTGGTTAGGTGGATCCCCAAAAACCCACGTTTGCAGACTGTAAATATGAAAAAAAAAATAAATATGAAAAACATTTGTTGTCAGTATTAAAATTATTTGCATAATAAATGCAAGACTTTACCATTCTACCATTATTTTTACAAGCCATCAGGGAAAAAAATAATGCATCTTATAAATTAAATTAATTTTCTACTTTTTTTCTACCATGGTCTCTCTATTTATAAAAAATCTGCTAAATACCGCTTGCTTTAATTCATCAAATAAACATAAAAATAAAAAAAGAAATATATATTCACTATCCGTACTTAGAAAAAGAAAAAAGAGTTTTTTTTAAGAGAGCACCCACCCCAACGTACCTAGAAAGTTTTTTTTTCTAAATCATTACGAAAAAACAAGAAACACAGAGGGTGCACTCAACCACACACCTTTTTTCTTCTTTGGCACGATATAGTGCCACATTTCCCGTACGCTCATACACCAATTAAAAGAAAAAAAACACATATATGCCTTCTTTTCGTCTCTACGGTTTTATTTTTATTTATTCTTTTATTTACGCTTCAAAAAAGAAGCAGCGGCAATACGGTGTGAAGAGTAACTGCCAAAAGCATTACCTTAATAAGGTGTGATCCTGCTGTATGCCACGCTGCATCCCCATTCGATTCATGTACAGTATCCATCTCGTAGAAAGAGACTTTGGCCAAGACCGTTGAGTTTATATTGTAGGAGAAGAGGGCAACTCCAGAATAGTCATTGGGAACGTAAACACGACCCGTCAGCGATTCCAGACCACCATCCTTGAAGACTTGAACGATGGTGTCATCCACAAATACTCGCAGCTGCACCCTTGTGCCATTTCCAACGAGAGGAGCTCGGCCGGTCCAGGTTTCGTGGAATCCAGTCGTGCTGGATTT